CATATATATTTAACACACACACACACACACACACACACACACACACACACACACACACACACACACACACACACACACACACACACACATATATATATATATATGTATGTATATATATATATATACATATACACACACACACATATATACACAAACATAAATATATATTTACATATATATATACACACACACGTGTGTGTGTGTTTGATTTTATGAAATAATTTATGCTGTCTTATATTGCTGTTCGTCAGGGACTCGTGTCACTCGTGTATGGAATTTTGATGAGCGAACACCTTGTTCATAACGCAGCAACAACAAATAATAAACCTTGTGCTACAAGAGCTACCCTGGAGCCCGGGGCCTCTCGTCTCGCTTGACATTATTGCTTCTGAGTTTCTAAAGTAATTTGAAATAAAGTAAAATCTGTTATCATAGATCCTTTCGCACTTTTTAGTGCTTTGCCTGCACCTTCAGTGCTCTTGTTTTTGCAGGTGATATGAGGCTACTATAGGCGTAGTCAGCACCCCACCTCAGATCCGCAGTTCTCTACTACATTAGGGTAGCCCTTGTGGGCTTTGACCCCTGGGTAGGGAGGCCCAGTAGTCTGAGGCGTCCTTTGGGAGCACTTTTTCTTTTATTCTAAATTCTTTTCCCCTTCACGTGACCTTCCTGGCATTGATTTACCGTCCTTCGCCTAGGCAAGTTCGGCGGCAAGGTGTTCTCTACATAACTCGATCCCTCTGTGGTACTGTAGAACGCAATCAGGCTTCCCCTGGGGGAGGGGGGGGTAGAGGACGGAAAACTGCTTTACTCTATTAGCTATTGCTGTTAGATTAATACCAAAAGTTAAGAGTTTTTCATCCCTTCAGGACTATGGCTTTGGGCCAAGGGGTCGGACCTGGTCCGATACTCATGATGGATGCTACCCCGGCTACCCCTTCTCCTCAAGGGCGAAGGGTGATTCATGACTACTCTCTAATTCGACTATGAACAACGGAACCCCTACTAATGACAAACCTTTTCAAAATCCCCATCGAGAATGCAAGGCTCGCGAATGTAAAATGCGTGAGTGAAAATCAATCGCTTTCGAACGTGAACCCCTTTATCATCAAAAAGGTCCTTGATGGTCAAGTGGACGTCGATTTTGAATTTGTAAAAAAATTGCGAGATGGAATCCTCCTTGTTTTACCTGTGCTGACGCAAATTCATGATCTCCGAATTAAAGTAACTATTTCTATTGACCCAAATACCTTTCACAGGGATTTGAGTAAAAGAAAGTGAAATTCTCGAGAGCAAGAAGGACCAAGACGTCGTGGTCGTTCATTGTATGACCAAAAGGATGGGAATGTGCGAACGAAAACTGGACTGTGTTTTATAACCTTTGCTTTGAATAAAATCCCTGAGTATGTCAATGTCGGATATGAACGTATCCAAGTAAGACCTTACATCCAAAGGCCAATGCATTGGAATAGATGGCAAAAAAATCGGACACACCTCATTAAGATTTACAGATAAAGACTCAAATAAATCTGTTTGCCGTAAATATGCTGAAGCCTATGACACCACAGGTACTAGTCAGATTTCCAAATGTGCTAACTGTGGAGGTCTCCA